AGAGAGCAAAAACACCATTCGTAAAAATATATGTAATTGGTAATTTAAGTAATTTGGTTATAATTCATTTCCATTCTAGCTCCTGAGCTGTTATATTCAATGTGATAAATAGGGTTACATACCTTATAATCCGACAAACAGCTCAAATAGTAGGTTGTTTACATGTTTCGGCTTGTATCGGCCATTGTCAAAACATTGCAGTTGGAAAAAAATACTTATCATTGTTTACTAATGTCCATAAACTTTTACACACACATACACGAACGAATAAAAAAAATAGGCCTATTACAATAAATGCACCTGGAGTCTACAAACTGTTATAGTTTGCTTATTTTATTTATGGATATGTGTTGGTAAATGTATACTCGTATGAATTATACGATACAATTTACATAAAAAAAACGATTTTTTCTTCCCCAAGTGGGAATAAATTTAGTCTGCAGGACTGCTGCGGCGGGAGTATTTTGTTATGTATTTAATGTGACAGCAAATCGTTTTAATGGTTTTACAGTGAAATTCTGTTTAGTTTTTGTTAAGAATATAAGTTGAATCGGCGTTAATTCATTACTCGCCTCCCGCACCAAATTCTTGGGTCGCTAGCGGCACGGTAGAAAATTGGTGGGTCGCTAGCGGCACGGGTCGCTTCTGGCACGGTCGCTTCTGGCACGACACCCTTTACACAGTTCCAGTTTCCTTCCCCCTGTATCATTACGTGCATAATGGAACCACGCTGTTTTGTGTTGTTTCGTTGGAATCCTGATGTGCGGCAAAGTATAAACCGTACGGCAAAGTATAAACCGTACGGCAAAGTATAAACCGTACGGCAAAGTATAAACCGTACGGCAAAGTATAAATATGCAGCAATTAGCAGCTTTCTGTACTATAAACAGTACAAGGAAGCCAACTTTGTCAGGTGACTGTAGGAAAAATACCTTTAATTTGACACCTCAAACTTTAAAATCCATCAAGCCGTTGTTGAGTTATGACTATGAAAAGAAAACTGCTTGCTATTATTGTAATATAGATAAGATGCATTTGATATAGGAAAATTAGGTTTTTTGTTAATTACACAAAAACTAAAAGAGATACGAAGTAAGTGTAAATTACGTAGTTGTTAGGAATTAAAAAAACCTATAAAATGATGTGTCACTTGACATATGTTTCCGTTTAAAATTTTTGAACAATAAGCACTTTCAAATTTTCAAAAATAATTTTTTTTAATTTTAAAAAACCGTTACTTGTCGCATATCACAGTAAAGCTAATTTCATAACGAGTAAAAAAAAAAATCAACCGGAGAAGGGCTAATTGCATTGGTATATGAAACACAGAGTATTAAAAATATAGATTTTTTTTTCAAAAAAACTGCCGCCATTTTGAAAAGGAAAAAGATAATTAATTAATTTCTGTTATCGCCAAAATGTTTGTCTATTAAATACCTTTAAAATGACGTATAACATGACATATGTTTACATTTGAAAATTCCGAGATTCGAACTAGTGACCCTCAGTTTTTGGCACACCCTGTATTGGAAAAAAGTTGAAAACATTTTTACGTTATTCTTTGGGGTCGATTTAGCGAGAAATAATTTTATTTCATCCTTCTACGTTAAGCCATTTTTCCGTAATCAATTTGAGACACCTCTCGTTGGACACCCTGTATATACATAAATATATATAAAGTATATATATATAAATATACATATCTATATATATAATACGCTAAGCCGATTTTTGTGAACAGAACTCCTCCCTCATTTTTGGACCGATTTTGATGATTAAGGTGTCAAAAGAATTGCCCTGATCTGTAGTTTTGCAAAGTGTTTTTCGTTTTTTGATATCTTTATTAGTTTGGGCAGGATCTTCCATCAAAGTTAGGTTTTCTCCCATAAGATTAACATGGGGGAATCAAAATATTTAATTGGAAACTTTGCCTCCTCTAATTTGAGAGAACGGCTGGGCGTAGAAACTTGGTAGATGTGTCCAAAGAAAGGTCTTTGGTCTGTAGATGAGTTATCAAAAGAAAAACGAAGTAAATTAGCCTAGGGCTCTGCCCCAGAAGCCTTTAAAGATCCCTCCACAGATTTGTTTACATTTTGGTCAGGTGGATAATACTTTTTAATAAAACAGCTGGTAATTTTAAAATTGTATTTTAAACAACACACATTTATTGGGAGTTACTGAATTGTCCAAAAGAAGTATTTGCAATGTTATTTTCTTATTTTAAAATTGATTGTCTTTTGTATCATGTCATGTTTTGCAATATAAAGTTATTTTACGAAATCAGTGGAAAATCCTTTTATCACAATAACTCTTACAATTATTTCTTATTGATCATCTTAAATCTATTTTACGAGTTGGTGTCTGCCTTTTTAACACCTTATTTTCCTTATATTTTTTCACAGTGGCCTATATTACGGACCATGGCCCACTGGGTTGGTAACATTATTGAAAATAACACGACATTTTGGCTGTAAAAATGGCCCAATGAGTAAATACTATCTAAGCAGCTACTGTCATGACTGAAAGATCATCCTTTTAAACTAGATCACATCATCATTTATAAGATACGTTGATTAACAATGCATGTAAACATCAATATTTACGTAACAGCCAATTTACATTATTTTTAGCATATGAATGAGGAGGCCCCTAACAGTTCAATAATAAAAGCCAACTTCACTTAAAGTATATTCAACTACACCTAACATTCCGTAGAGAGATTATATTGACAACTTGATGTAACTGATAAGGCTGAGACAACTAACTGACATCCCCCATGTCAAGGAATGCCAGCTTTAACAGTAACCTCACAACCAATTTCTTAAAACTGTGCTAGAGGGTTATTCATTGGCACAGAAGTACGATATGAACTTACGCGACGTGACGAAGAAAAAATCAAACTTGCACTGTAACAGATGTACCTCCCTTTGAAGTTAGAACGTGTCTTCCCAACAAAGAGATTTTTTTTTTCAAATAAAATCATAGATTAATTTGCATAACACTGATGAAATCACGGGAGTGTTTAACTACAAAAGATCCACCAAAACGATTTCAATACTAGGTATTTAAAGGTTTTTCCAAAGGAAGAGATACCAGATAGCATACTCACAACTCCGATAACGTACAGTATGGGAAATATTTTATTCGTGGAATGATCAAAAATATTTACTAACTAACGCAATTAATGGCATTATTGTTTTTACACTCATTAATATTCAAACAATGCTAAATGCTCAAAATATGTATAATTTCACTCAATTTATCGCAGTTAGATTAATTAGGGTCTGACTTAGGGGAGGTACAAATGAGGCATTTAGTTCAAAATTCCTCCGTAAACAGCGCTGTAGTAGAGAGCACTTTGGCAATAAAGGTTTACTAATCGCAAAAATAGTTCTGTTCATAAAATAAAATTATAAATGCCTCAAATTCAATTTTACTATTTTTAATTATAAAATTAAACTATCATAACCTAACCGAACTAACCAAACTTGCTGATAAAGAAATAATATAACAAAAGTTTAGTAATCGGAAAAATAATTCTGTTTATTAAATAAAACTAGAAATTGCTCAGTTAAAATTTTATAATGACTTAATAATAAAATTAAACTGTAATAACCAAACCAAACCAACCAAACTTGCTGATAATAAAAAAATCTTGGACAAAAAGTTAAAAATAAAAAAATCTTGGACAAAAAGTTAATGCTACCAGCGGGATTCGAACCCGGGACCTTCAGTATACCAGCCCGGCACGCTAACCATTGGACCACCGAGGCCGATGGCTATCGAACGTTTTGTTACGGTAATGACGTTCCCTCAGCTAAAAAGAAGCCCTCAGCTGTCATCGTAGCCTCTTCTATACCTCCCCTGAGTAAATACCGATTAATTATCGTAAGCCTGGAAAGTAACCGTCGATTTCGACGGGTTTCACCTAGTATATATAAATATACTTATATATATAAATATACATATATATATATAAATATACATATATATATAAATATACATATATATATAAATATACATATATATATGAGTGAATTTGAACGGATGGTGTTTTTGGCCTCAAGGGACTTCAAAAGGAAAAGGGGCCAGAGCATATTTTAAGGGATTTTCACTGGGTGACAGTAGCGCCGGACTTACTGGGGGTCTGGGGGCATGGAATACCCCCCATCAAAAAGGTGGGTCCGGGGTTCCCCCCGGAAATTTTTCTTAGGGTTAAAGTGTAAATCACACATTTCTACGTATCTTTTAATGCATTTTTTTTATTATATTTGCTTGTAAATAGTCCATATAATCTCACTTAATTACGTATTCTAGAACGTTGTAACAAGTCAAGGCTCCCTTCACAACCTCTTGGGCCAAAATCATAGCTCAATACTCTAAAATATTTACATAATGTTATTTTTCAAATTCCGATACATTTAAAATGTTAATCATAAAAAAAATATACCGGCACCACCCATAGTCACTGGGCGACAAAATTCGAGCACACGTGTTATTTTATGCCCTGAAAGGTACCTAAATCGGTCCCGGGTCCAGGACTTACCATGAGACCTACGGTAATAGGTTATTCCCTATTTGTGAAATTCGCAAAAAAAAATTGAACTAAGTTAATAGTGTTTTTGGCCTCTAGGGACATCAAAATGAAAAAAGTATGTAGGTCCTGTACCTGTATGTCTCATTGAGATTCACTGAAAAACATTCAACTCTCCCATCATCTCCTAAAAAGCTAAAAAGCTCTACTTCGTAAAAGTTCGGAGATTGTCGGATTTCACTGATTTCAGTCCTTGTTGGATGTTGACGTCAATTCAAATGGTCACGTGGTTGGGAGTGTTCTTGGAAAGTAAAAATAACAACTGGCGATGATGTCATCTTGTTACTGGAAGGGGGTAGAGTGGGAGGAAGGAATCGCTTCATATCAGGAATGGGAGGGTTTCCCCCAGTGCCAGTGAGTGGATGAGTCATCACATCGTTGCTAAGCAGCAGACAGTGTTTTGGGGTTGCTTTTAAGCGTTGTGAAAACATACTACTTATTATTAGTTATATAAAATAGTGAGTTAGTTCTATTTGAGATAAGAAAATGTATCTTCCGTCTTTAATAAACAGCTCAAAACAAAATGACAAGAAGTCAACTGCAGAATTTCTGGCTAGCGTGGCTTCTGATATTATGGTTACCCCTGCCAGCACAATATCGGTGAGTCATTGTTTATCATTTTACTACTTTACTTTGTTTTAGCTAAACACAAGGTTCATGGTTCATAGCTAGTTAGTTGCAATTGAAGGAATTCGTTTCATTAAAGACAGGTGTGCATTAATACTTGACTCTATGACGTAATAACTTAACACGTCAGCAAAACTTCTACAACAAACTTAGCCGATCTTTCGTTTCAAGGTTATATGTTGCTTAGTCTATGGTTCTAGGCGAAACTAGGCCTATTAGGTACCGTTAACTCCTTTCAATAATTCCACACAGAATTATTAACCCATTCATGAATGTATTTAACCTAGGCCTACATATCTGTTTTATTTCATCCAGCAAAATTTATTATTTTATGTCTAGCCTAATATTTTACCAAAGTTGAACTCATACAGTAGGCTATTAGAGACCAGGGCTAGGCCTAACTTAATCAAGTTAAACTTCGTAAAAAATAAAACATCAAAGATCTTAGCCTAAGTTAAGTTAGGCTAGGGCTAGGGTATGTTTAAGTTATTACAGCTTAACTTGTTCAATTATTGTCTCCCATAAAATCAGCTAACTTAACTTAATAAGTCTAGGCTAATATACATATCATCGTCTGTATATAGACAAGGGTTTAAGAGTCCAGAGAGAACCTGCGATAGCCTATATTATCAGATGAATATTAGTTTGACATATAAATCCGTTCGGAAATAGGCCTAGGCTACTTAATTTATGTTACCTAAGTACCTAGTTTTCGTGTGGTTTAAGATTAATGTAGCCTATTAAGTTAGGCCTAAGTAGGCTATGAATGTTTAACCCTCCGAGTGTTATTTGTCGATGCGTCGACACATAACACACTTTGTGTAGTGTTTTGTGTCGATGCATCGACTCACAAACACTGTTTACGGCGAAGGCTCTATGACTGACAAAATCGGATTGAACTGGATCGAGTTAGGTATCGTTTTATTTTTCAGATTCAGAGCTTTCTCCGGAGGTCTGTCTCTAAGCGCTTTTCATTTTAGTTCCGAAAATATTGTAGCAGACAGCTGACGTGCGTATTTGTAAACAGCTTGGTTAACCTCGCACCGATGACTGATGTGTTTTATTACGTTTATCATTGTTTTAGTGTTATAAATCAAAAGTAGTGATATACGTGGTGCATTATAAGAAGATTTAAGTGATTTTGAAGGGCTGGTTGATGATCCTGAAGAAGTAGGTAGTGATATTGATGTAAATTATCAGCCAGATTCCTAGCTATGGTTAGGCTATGCATTCTTAGCTAAACGCTATGTACTGAAATCTGTTTCGTGCCCATAACTTATTTATTTGCAAATCTACTTCCAATATATTATTATATATTTGTAATCCTCATAAAATTTAGAACAAAGTGGCTATTTTCAAATATTTATAGGCCTATAATTTATACAATTTCATTGAGCGCGAACTTATTTTTATTTTGAAAATTTTCCAAAATATTTTTTTTTTACCTATAAAATTTGTTTTTAAAACAAATGTTCCTTATGTTTTATAGATAATATTGAAGCCCATGATTTTCCAAACAAAATGGTATATAGAACAGTATAATTAACATTGTTTTCAAGCTTCTCAGATCCGTTTTAATAAAACCTTGCAAATGAGCAAAAAATAGGCAGACATTAAGGCCAAAACAAGGGACACTCGGAGGGTTAAGCTATAATTTTAGGGTCTTTCACACTGTGCTGTGGCAGTTAAACACTTAACAAATCTAACAACACTAACAATAAGAGTTCATGTTAAAGTTCCTTTGTGTTCAATAAGTTATCTTTAAAAAAAACTTCAGATGTTTTCCTTCATTTTTATAGCAACATAACCTTGGTTAGCTATGTGTTTGAAATGTGGTAAGGCGGTGACACACTATCGATCTTTTCCCCGATCAAGACCCCGAACCGAGCAGGGAGAAGGGAGAAGGGAGATAAATATCAGCAAAATTTTACTCCGAACATTTCCCCGAACATGACCAAGACCAGACGAATTCTACCGAGCGCGGCAAAAGGAAGTTTGGAGAGAGATAGAGAGTGTGTGCGAGTGAGAGCGCGGAGGCAGTGCCGTGGAAGAGGGGGGGGGGGTTAATTTCTATAACATAAAAATTATTGTTAAAAGTCGCATTTTGAAAACTTGTCGAAAAAATAAAATATTCTAGAAAGGATCAATAGTTATATCTATTGATTTCTATTGGTTTTATTCATTGAAATAACGTTACAGAATGATCATTTTAATTGTCTTTAATAATATTAATGTTTATATTATTTTTGAAAGAATTTAAGTCAACATCAATTACTTAATTCAACCTTAATATTATTGATATAATTGGTTTAACGGTTTCTACACTTTCAACCTTGACCAAACAAACCACAAACATTACATCTTAAATGATTATTATATATAACGGCAACATATTACCCAACATTTATTTATTTTACCAATTAAAGAGTTTAATTGCCATATTAAATCAGAACTATCAATGCTAGCGCAGGCGGCCGCTCGGTGCGGCGCTCGCGACGATGTACGGGGCAAAAATGTACCCTGACACACTATCGTACATCGGACCGTACATAGGACCGATCTTTTCTTTGATCTTTCGCCAAAAAACCGCCTCCAGAGCGCTCGTCTCCCTGCTCGGCCTGATGTCTTGTTCGGCGTCTTGATCGGTGTACGGACCCGTGACACACTATCGAACATCCTCCCTTCGACCTCCCTTCTCCCTTCTCCCTGCTCGGTTCGGGGTCTTGTTCGGGGAAAAGATCGATAGTGTGTCACCGTCTGTAGAGCTACAAATACTTTCAATACCGTACTTTAAAATACTTTTTAGTGAAATGGCGACCTTATAAAGTAGGTATTTTAAGCCAAGTATGAATGGAGATGAGTGTAGGATGAGTGGCGCGATCTTGTAGTCTTGTTAGTGACTAAGGCCGACATATTCCTTAGACACAGCTGTTAATTAAAAGCCCATACAGCTAATGGCAACTAAGGGACATACAGTTTATCCGAACCACATTTTTGCCTTTGGTATATATACAAATTGGTCTAATTATCAGGATAGTACTGCGGACAGTCGTAGTACTCACTTGTGCGGACGTTAATCCACAACAGGGAGTATCACATCCACAGTGCATGCCTAAAAGCACAGAAAACGTACTACTATAACCCAGAATGCCAACCGCATGGTAAAAAGCATTAAGTGTTTTGAGAGAGCTTTGCCTGTCAATCGGTAGGCAGCGCCACCAGCGTTGCTATGCTATTGCATGGCCGCACATTTGAGCGAGGCGAGGTGCAGGCGGGAGCGAAGACTTTTTCGTGTCACCGCACATTGAAGCGAGGAGGGACAGAGGTTTCCTAGCTTTGGTCCATCTGTTGCGAGAAAATTTTTTTTTTTTTAGGAGAAAGATTTTTTAGACCTTTGTTGATTCTGATTATGAGTTTAACATTTTGTTTTACTCTATTCACAATCCTAAATAAACGGTATCAGCATTCTGACACATACTTTCTCCCATAAGCTTGTCAACAACCTTTATCATGTGTAAGCGGTGAGAGTAAATATACGGAAATTGGATTTGTACAATTTTCTTCAGAATTTCTTCAGAAAGGACTATAACATACTAAATTTTTATCAAAATTGTTCAGGCCATTTTTGGGAAAATCCTATTTTTCCGTTATTTTATGGGGTTTTATGGGACAATCCCCATTAAAAATAAAAATTTCTAAGAAATGAAAAAAACTATCACAATTGTAAGAACCATAACAATACCATACAATGTTAAATCAAAACTGGGTTTTTGTCTAAAATCCTATTTTTCGTTATTTTATGGGGTTTTTATGGGAAAAATAACATAATTTACCATAACTTTTGAACTGTAATTTTTACAGAAATGAGATTTGTACCATTTTGTTCAGAATTTAAAGGGCTACAACATACTAAATTTTTATCAAAATCGTTCGGGCCATTTTTGAGAAAATTCGATTTTTCCGGTTTTTTATGGGTTTTTATGGGAAAATCCCCATTAAAAATCAAAATTTCAAAAAAATGAAAAAAACGCCTGGAGATACCATGGATTAGAACCTACATACCAAATTTCATCGAAATCGGACCACAGGTGTAGTCTCTAGCTCTGTACACATCCAGACACACAGACACACACACACACACACACACACACACACACACACACACACAGACATCACTTCGAAAACCACTTTTTTGGGTCCAGGGGGACCCAAAACGAATATATCCACTCAAAACTCAAACTCGAAAATTTTGACGAAAACAATACTTTCTCCATATACTATGGTATAGGGGGAGAAAGTAAAATGTAAAAGCAAAAGCTCTTTTGAAAATGTGATTACCGTACACGAAAAAAAGATTAAGCCATGGAGAGTATTTTTTAACTGCTGAACTACCAGACCGCTATTTTTAGAGAATATTTACGTGTGAACAAACAACCGTTTGACGATATACATAAGTTGATTGAAAGTGACATCAATGGTATGCAATGCTCAGCAACCTGAATTAAATGCTACATTACTATATCTTTCACTCACAAAACACTATAAAACCAACGCAGGCACGAGCGAGGTGCAGGAAAACTGTATTCCAACTACAACGCCGCGGAGCCCTGACAGAGGCTGCAGCTTCATTGTGCGATGCTCCATTAAAAACACGTGTATTACAGAATCATCTGTGCCTCGCCTGCACCTCGCCTCGCTTCAATGCGCGAACGGGCTTAAATATCCACAATTCGTGACCTCCTAGTAGCTGGATTACAGGACGATGCTACCCGTCCCAGTCAAAAGTTCACTCAAAGTTCACTCTACCCGTTGAAGCCTCTCAGCTTGAGATTTCTTCTGGCTTTGGAAAAGGTACAGGGTTGATAATAACTTTGTTTGAAACATAATTTTTACTTAATTTCAGCATCCTTGGTTGATTTATCTATATTTATAAAAGAGGAAGTTTGTATATTTGAACGTTATGAGCTCGGACA